ATGTTCTTTTTTACTTGTGTACATTTTTAATAAAAGAAAGTAATTAATGACTCAGCCTTCCATCTCCAGCAGTTGTGCTGCTTGTCGTGGGACATAGTGGCCCTTGTTCTGGGGCCTTTGGCCTCTGGCTGATCATGGCCCATTCTGCCCAAGGCTGCCCTGCAGGGTCAGAGCTAGTTACCACTCTGTGCCATCCCTGTCTCTCTGCCTGCTCCCTGCACCCCAGAGTCCAGCCTTGATTATCCCCCAAGGAAGGACTCAGACAAGCCAGGTGGACTGTGAGTAGAGAAGGTAAGCAGATGCTAACTGCAGGGCTTTGCCGGCCCAGCATTTTGGAAATGTCCTCAAGCGCCTCAAGATCCTGCCTGAACAGAATCTCCTCCTGTGAGAATATGGAGATGAACTGCTTGCCTTGGTGGAGCTTCCAGTCTGGTCAGAGAGATTGGGCACGTGGGGAGTAGCAGACAGGAAGGGAAGAGGCACTGGCTGGTGAGGTTTTGCCTGTGTGAACAGTCAGATCTGTGAGGGCCCCAAGACTGCATTGCATGTGTCTCAGTCTGGTCAGAGACCAAAACTAGGGTCCTCCTGAATATCCTGAGGAAGGCCCCTCAAGTGGGTGGCAGATGGTCTCCTAGGAGGAGAACTCAAGTGGCATGACAGTTCATGACAGAAGTGTGGCAATGAACTGTTTTCAGATGCTGTTCTGAGTCTTAGAAGTTTGGACATCCTTCAGGCCCTCCTCTGCCACACCCCTCGACCTGGCAAACTCAGAAGGAGCACTGGAAGGGGAGCTCTGAGTCCCCATCAGAGTCAACCACGTTCCACCTCCCACAGGCAAGGGCAGCAGCTCCACCCCAGTTTACCATCGCCGTCGTGTGGGCAACGTGAAAGGACTTCTTGACTTCTCTCAGTTTTAAGGAACGCAATTGCTCTTCTGGCATAATGACTCCCCCCTCCCTATTCACCTACCAGATCCCTAAAGACCAGCTCCACACAACCACACGACTTCCTCGTTCCATGAAGTCAGCTTTCTCAGAGAAGCCTGACACACAATTTCCTCCCCCCAACCCCGACCTGAGGACTCAGATGGCCTGGGCCACTTACTTTGCTCCTGAACCATGATCCCAAGCGTACCCCTTCACCTGTCTGAGCAAAGGTGTGGCTGGATATTTCCAACTGCTGTGCATCTGCGCTATAGTTCTCGGCCGATTTGGGATTGACAGCGTGAGGGAGAAGTTGGTAGTAGAACCAGGTACCCCACACCCACCTGGCTGGCAAGGGAAAGGGGAGAACAAAGACAGAGAAGGACCCAGACCGGTCAAAGGCAGACGGCCAGAAATGGAGCTGAGCGGCACCCTGGCTGTCTCTCAGCGGGGTCCGAAGGGTGGGGGAGGCCTTTCCTGAAGGAAGCTTGCCAGTGAATCTGAGAGCCCACCTGATGTAGGGCTGCCAGAGGTGCTGGGTTTTCTCAGGGGTCACAAAGCCAGGAGTTGACTCAAAACAGCCAGAGGGTGGCCCCAGCCTTGTGTCTGAGAGTTAAGATGCACCACTGACAGGCTTGGCTCCTACCCAGAGCCAGAGTCCAGATCTCTGAGGGCCCCAAGGACTTAGCAAAGAGTCTGATTTACAGCAGAACAAGAGAGACCCGGTGCCTTGCTCAGACAGAAACGCAGCTGAAAAAGTCCTCTTGGATCCCTAGGGCTGAGCTAAGGCCTAGCAGGCTGGAGTCCCCTGGAGCTGGGAGCTGGTTCACAGAGACTTGCAGGACTGAGCCCTGTGCTGAGGCCAAGTTACAGGCCAGTCTGTGTTCCACCCTCAGGGGCCCCACCCACTGAACTGCAGGTGGCCTCCAGGGCATTTGCATCACTTCCCTTTAGGACCAAGTCAAGCCTCACCTCACTGGGGCCCCGGGGCCGGTGGCCCACAGCCTCGTTGCCTGGGACGGGGGCAGGGAGCTGAAGAACGGGGTCCCGCACAGTGTCGGGGCAGCTGCAGCTTCTGCTGCCTCCCGTGTCTACAAATGATTTTTGTGCATGAGATACTAGCTGCCCCAGGCAAGCTATCCCAGACGTCTTCCCGAGGTCTCAGTTTCCTCCTCTCTGGGCAGCCTGACACTGTGGAACCAGTCTGGGCTCTGGGCAGACAGATGTAGGTTGGAATCCAGGCCCCATGCTGATTGGCTGAATCATCCCGGACGAGCACCTTGTGCCAGCTGAGCTTTGGTTTCCGTGTCCGTGACCAGGGGCTGCTGTGGGCTGCCAGAGCCATGGTGCGTACAGGGAGCTTGGCAAGCCCCGGGTGCAAAGTGAGCCCTCAGGGCATGTTGTCATTACCTAGCCGGACTCTGGGGTCCTTGATCAGTTCTGCTCCTCTCTGAGCTTGTGGAGCTGGATGAGGGATGTTGCGGTGGGCAGACGTCTGTCTCTCCCCTTATACTCAGTCCCCTCGTCCTGGCCTCATTGCCTCCAGTATCTTCCCAGTTTAAATCAAACTCAGCATAGACTCCCTCAGCCTGCCTCACCGCTGACCTTACAGAAGTAGGGGGTTCTTCTACAACTCCCCACCCCTAGGAAGTGGGCAGAAATGGGTCTCTTGGGAGCTGCCTAGAGCTGGGAAAACCATGTGGCCGTGTGTACCCTCGTGCTGCCTTAGACTTGGCCTCCCAGGCGAGCCCTGGCTGACAAAGGCTAGCCTCACTCTGCCCAGTACTTTGGCTCCTGGAAAAAGAAGTACATGAGCTCCTCATTCTCCCTGCAAGCCTCTGCCCCTTTGACTGGCACGAGTGGGAAAGGTGAGTGCAGAGTTCTGATGAATTTCAAATGTCGTTGTGACGGGTCTGATGAATTTCAAATGTCATTTTGATGGGAGGGTTAGTTGTGCCCAAATTGAGAAAGGGCACTTTGTCTGACAGACAAAAGCTTCCTGGGTGCTCCAGCATGGTTACTGGGGAATCCTGTACCTTGCTCACACAAGGATTTTTGGATGTGTGCAGACTGTGTAAAAGACCAAATGTTCCCAGGGAATGACAGACAGCCTGGGTGTGACCCAGCCCCACCAGCCTGGGGGCATCACTTCCAGGGGAGAGGACTCCACCTCCAGCCAGGCGCAGGACTTTTTCCAAGACTTCAATTCTGTCTTTGGCAGTCCCCACCCAAGACTTCCAGAAAGATCTGAGAAAGCGCTTATCTTGCACAGTGCTGAGAGATACTGCACACTGATATGTCAAGAAGGGATGATTGGCATGTCTTCCCTAAAGGTCTTCTAGGAAGCTAGCATACTAGCCTCTAGCTTTCTTTCTGTTGCCAAGTGAGCTGAATGAATAACAGCCCAATTAAAGTGACACCTTTAAGTAAGGTGAGGAAATTCCTTTCACTAACCAGAAACACCCTGGAACATCTGTAGACTTGGCAGTTCTGCCTGGCGTGCCTGAATCCTACTTTGTTGGTTTATCCCATTGGAAGGTGGTCCTTCATGACAATGAGGTTATCACAACCCCTGCAAAGCAGATCTTTCTATGAACTCTTAGTCCCTCAGCCAAGAGCTTCTACCATTAGTGCTTCAACTGAAGTTCTTGCAAGTAAGCCACAAAAGCATTGTCAGGTTCTTCAAATGAATTTAAATTATTATTCCCAAATCTGACACAGATTATACTGATGTTGCTCCATTTCAGGCACTATTTGGCTAATGAGTTAGTGTCAGCTGCCATCATCCTTAAGTGAGCATTGGACTTTCCTTTTTCTCCTCAGGAGTGGTGGGGTGTGGTAAGATAGCTCACCATCCTGGAAAATCTGGCTCCATCTCACACTACCCCTCCAGGTCTGGCCACTGGGACCCAGCTCCCTTGTGATGGGGAGGGGGATATTTTTGGGGTCCCTTCTGGATTCCAAGGAGTTGGTTCCAATTGTCTCAGATGCCTAGGGTATGAAGAGTTGGAGACCAGGACTCTAGAAACTCCATCTTGGCTCTAGAGATTGGGAGCTCATTGATGGAATTCCTTTCCCATTTTGGAAACTTGTAAGTGATGAACTTTGTGTACTAAAACTTGAGAGATTTCCATACCTACCTGGGACTTCAGCATATCCACTGCCTACTTACTATCAGGGATTAAGTCTGAGGTCCCTGCTGTTTGCTCTGGGTTGCATGCCTTCCCCGACATCCCTCCTAGGTCTGATCTACCTGGCTTCACACTACTTCCAGCCATCATTAGTTGGAAAAGCCACCCACTAGACCTTGCCAAGCCCCCAGTTAGAAGCCACAGAAGGCTGGCCTCCCCCAGTACTATTTTTCACAGTAAGGGCTGGGCCCTGGAAGAGCTGGGAAAGGCCTTATTCCTCTCCTGTCGCCAGGTGATGTTACTCTTGGAAAATCCAGGTGGATCTTCTGATGGGCAGGGCTTAAATGAGTCTGTCTAGGCCTCCACAAGTAGAATGCCCACCCAGCAGGAGGCCACCTGCCATTCAAGGAACAATACTTCATAAGCTTTGCAGAGAATGGCTGACTGAACTTTTACCCATTTTCCAGTTTTTTCTTTATTTTCCCACTCAGCCTTCCCCCTCTCACACTCTTTCCAGACAGCTCGGCCCAACAAGGGGTTTCTCGGACCAAGAATATGGTCTTGATTTTTCCTGAGCAACCCCTTCACCGCCATGGCTTCATTCTCTGGAGGATACTAGTGATGCCTGCTGGCTTTCCTGGGCTGTCCTGCCTACTGCTGGGTGCTGTTTAGCCCTAGAGCCAGCCTGCAGAGAGAAATGAGAAAAGCCCATTTCCAGACCTCTGACTCTTCACTCTGACTTGGTCCTTCATTGCCTTGTATCAGTGATTCCCAACCTGCAGTTTTCAGGAACACTGTCCTGATTCTTCACCCAGAGATTCTGTGTGTGTTAGCCTAGCCAGAACCCTGAAAAGATGTGCAATAAGGACGTCTGCTTCATGTAAGTTCATCCAAGATTTTCCTAACACATATGTGCATGGAGCCGTTACACAGTACACTGCAGGGCTGATTTTCAGCACCAGTTATTACTGACTGTCAAAACAGTAAAATACTTTTGAACAGTCAGGTGAATAGTCCCAAGCCCCAGTCCCCAGTGTCCTTCAGCTACCCCAGCCCCTCCCCCTCAAATCTGTTCCCAATCCAGTATCTACCTGTACTGTCCAATATGGTAGCCACTGGCCACGTGTGGCCTTTTGAATTTTAACTAACTAAATGAAACTTTAAAAATCCAGGGAAATCCCTGGCATCCAGTGATTAGGACTCCAAACTTCCACTGCAGGGGGCATGGGTTCTATCCTGGGTCCAGGAACCAAGATCTTGCATGCGAGCAGCACAACCAAAAAAATTTTTTAAAAATCCAGTTCCGCCATTGTACTGGCCACATTTCAAGTGTTTGGTTTAGCACATGTGACTATACCACTGCCTGTTGTAGTGGACAACGCAGACAGAGAACATTCCCATCACTGCAGAAAACAGACAGCAAGTTATGCTCAGCATAGAAGGCCTCAGGGATCTTTATGGGGCTGGTGTGTGATCTGATGGTGACCATGCTGTGTTAACTGATAACTTTGTGAAGTAGCACCTGAGTACACTTGCATTTGAGTTTATAGCAAAACATTAGTTGATGGCACATCCCTCAGAAGAACTCAAACCTAACACTCCTTGGGCCCCAGGAGCCCCAGGTCAACTCATAGCTCTACCTGTATAGCCAATACATGACTGTATTTACATGAACATGTCCCTGTGCCACAACTGTCCTTTCTCCTGCCATCTTCTCCATGACCACAACTGAAAGGATTTCACAAAAGGTGTGTAACCACTCATCCCAAAGTTAAGCTCAGGAAGGATGCCAACAATGAATCCATCAGAATGTGTCTATGAGAAGCAAAATCACCTATGATTTATCTCTAAATAAAAGGCCACAACCCTTATAAACAATACAATTTTTATAAAAAGACAAATGTACATATTTACACACATGTACATGTGTGGTCACACAAGACTTAGTGGTCAGATGGTATCTCCAATTTTAAATCACACCAAGGCGCTCACGCTTGCCTCACTGGGCCTGCTGGGGGCTGCCGGGGCCTGCCTGAGGGGGCACGTGGGTGCAGGGCAAGGCACAGTATAAATAAATGCAAAGGCCAAGAGCTTGGGAAAACGTTAGTGTACACCTCTGATCAGAAACGTGGCAAGGTCCACAAGAAAAAGTGCCAGGTTTTTTTCACAAGCCCCTCAGCCTAAGCAGGGAGCCAGGGCAGAGCTCCTCTGAGGCAGGGGGGGCACTGTCCCACAGGGACCCCATTCTTCCTTCACATTTCACTGGCTTTGGAACAGTCCCCAGGGCTCAGCTAGGAGGGGAAGCGGTTACTTTGGGAACAGGACCCACTTAGTGCAATTGTCTCTTAGTGCAGAGCCAGCCCTGGAGTTGATGCCATGTTTTCTGAGGTCACTGGTCCGTTCCCTCGGGCCAGCTCAGGGATAGCAAAACCCTCTCCAGGCAGTGGGGCTCAGAGGGGAAAGCTGGAGGCTGACTCCTGTCTCAGACTGCCATCTGACACGCCAGTCTCAGATCCCCATCTTCCCAGGAGGCAGGGCCAGCTTTACCCCACAAGATGAGTCCAGACCCTGCCCTGCCGGACTGCAGGGGGCCACTGTCCCGAGGAGGCTTCATCCTTGGTCAGCAGTGGGGTCACACTTCATCATATCAAGGGGCCACAGGATTCCTGCTTCTCTGCACCACCGCCACCATGATGCCAGGCCCTGTCGCCTAAAGGAGTCAAAGGGGGCTGGGGGCCCATCTATGGTGCACAAGGAATGGCCTGGATGGAGGGCAGCCTGACCGGGGTCAGCAGGCTATCCAACCAGCTGGCATCCATGTTCTTCATTTCTGAAGATATCAGGCCAATATACCCTAGAAGATATAAAGAAGGTTGTGTGAGGAGGGGGGTGAGGAGGCAGGTGTGTTCCCCTACCCCACCAACTCTCCAGCCCCTTCCTGGAAGGCACAGGCACAGCAGCTCCTGCTGTCCACCCCTCAGCAGCCTCATCTTAGGCAAACCCGAGGGCCTGGGAGCCACAGTCTGCAAGCTGTCTGTACCCCGATGAATTTAAGAAGGATGCTTTGCCTCTGCTGCTGTCTCGTCCAGTCCCCAAGTCTCCCCCACCACCTCCATGGTTTTTCCCATCTTTGAGAAACTATATGGATCCAGGATCGTCTTACCCCCAGGGCTGTCAACTTCTGGCTCCTCCTTGCAACTGAACTCTCCATAGACAGAGGTGGGCTGGGCCCCGGGTTCATTAAGCAGGTACCCCTTCCCATCCACACTTGTCTGCTGCCACCCTGTTTGCTCCAAGAGCTGGGGACAGATAAATAAGAAGCCATCAGCTCACTTCCAGTACAGACTCATCCTCTGGCCCTGCCCGCAATGAGCCAAAGCTTCCCAGCCAGGATCAGGTCCTTGGCTAGTTTCATATTCTCAGATGGATACAGATGTGGAGTGCAGTTAGGATAGAGGCCTGGAGGTGAGGGTCTGCCCTAGGCTAACATTCCCACATCTACCTTCTGGCATAGAATCTCCAAGACCTCCCTCTCTATAGAGTAAGGACATACCAACTGAGAGGGTGGCCTACAGCAATGGTTAGCCTGCTAAGAAAAGATGCCTAAAAATTTCAGCTAGAGATAGGGAATTATGCCCATGTCTCCACTTTCTGTGCTGAAGGAACACAGCCTGGGTACAGCTACTGCAAAAAATTTTTCGTATTTATTTTAAAAACTGAAACAGAAAAAAACCTGGAGAATAATTTGCTTTAAAAAAAAAAAAGCCATCATGTTACAGATCCCAGAGACTGATTATTGAAACCTGATGTGCATTTCCCAAACTAACAGGACTGGGGCATGTTGGGGCGGAGGACGCGGGCCAGGGACCCAGCACTGATGGGAGCTGAGTCAGAGCTATCTGAAGCCTGCTTTAGGACAGCATGTCAGAAACCCAGTCTCCCTCCTGCCCTCATTCCCAGTGTTTCTTTCCCGTCAGCCAAAAAGGCCAGTGGTCCCCAACCACATGGATGTGACACTTGTCGGACTATGCAAGCCAACAGGTCACAACAGCAGCAGCAGCAGCTGCCTACCCTCCAGTTTGGAAGCCCTCACTGAGAAGTAGCCACCTCTAAAGGGCACCAAAGGAGGAAGGAAGGGGCTTTTACCTTCATGATGTCCTCAGTTAATTTCCCTTCCTCGTCCTCATCTGTTGCAGCTGTGGATGGGGAACAGCAGAGGGGTTAGCTGAGGTCAGCCAGGCTCACCCTGAAGTACTAGCCCACCCGGTCCCCCTGCCCCATTCACACACACACACACACTGGCCTCCCAGCAGATGTCTGCCTGCCATGAAGATTACAGAACAAAATGCTGTCCTGGTGACTGAGCCTCTTGAACCCTGAATTTACACCTCTTCCCACCTCTTCCCTCTCCTCTCCAGCCCACCAGTCAGCTCGGTGCCAAGCGGAGTTCTGAGCATCTTTTCTCCCTCAGGAAACCCCTCCTTGGACCCCAACAGGAAGGCCAGGCCCCAGAAGCACGAACCTTCGGAGGTGGAGGGCATGGGCGACACCTGAAAGTTGTACAGGTCGCTGGTGCTGTCTGGCACAGTTTCCACTGGAATGGGCCAGATAGAGAGAGTGCTACTGACGCTCGGTGACAGCGCTTCAGGACAACAGAAACTGAGGGTCAGAGCTGTGTGCTGTCGTAGTTTGCCAGGATACCCAGCATCCCCCGCCCCCACTTATAGCCTGTTCCAACAGGCCACCATCCACAAGCTCAGTGCCTGCTAGATCCAAGAGTAAGAGCCTTCCCACCAATCTACGCAGGTCCCTGACAGCCCCAGCCCTCCTCACCTGGAGTGAGAGTCCGTTCAATGTCCAGGTCCTGCCCCATGTAGCTGCGAACTGTGTAGTTGCTGTGGTCATCGGGCAGGGTGGAGCTACTGAGTCCATCAGAGAAGGTATCGGGGCTGTATTCCCCATATGGCTGTAGAAGGAGAAAGACGCTTAGGCCTAGGCTTGCTGTGGCACTCCTTTCACTACCCACCCTGACCCTCAGGAAACCAAAGGCTAACTGCTTAGGATCACACTCACCTTCTTCTTGGCCTTGCTCTTAGCGTCTCGGCTGGACTTGGACTTTCTCTCTGTGGGGCAGATAGGCTGTCAGCCCAGCACTGGTAGAGGCAGGCATGCCGGCCCCAGCTGCCCTTCCTCCTCCTCCCCCCTCTCCCTGAGGGCTTCCCCAGGACCCAGAGCCCTTTGGGTACCTTTCCTCTGGTTCTTGGTGAGGGGCGGGAGCATCCGGTACACCCGCACAGCTGAACTGCCCTTGTTCCTGCTCTGGTCCTTCACCTCCTCAATATCTGGCAGCGAGTTCATGGCGCAGCGAAAGTTGGCCTTCCAGGTCTTGGGATCCGGCTCCTTTTCCCCTGCTTTGTATCGGCCTAGTGGGCAGGAAAGGTGGAGAGGATCATCAGGGCTATAGGTGGGAATCCTCATTTGTGCCCTGGCTCGGAAGGACAAAGACAAGGGTACCCCTAAAGCTTGCATGCTGCCAGAGATCCACAATGATCAAACCAGCAGGTATTCCTGGATGACACTGGTACAGGCCCTGGGCTTCTCAAATGCCCAGACTTGGACATTTGATACATCCAGCAAGCCTCCAGGAAAGGCCTACCCAGAAGCACTAGAGAGCCCAAGCCCAAAGTGCTATCTTTGTCACAGATCAAGGCAGTCCCTCTTTGGCTGTCAGCAGCCAGAAAGAAGGGACTGGTGCTTATCTGATAGTTCCAAACATGGGAGATGACAGAGTGGGCAGAAAAGAATATTTACTGATGGGGGACTGAGTGGTCCAAGATGGGCCAAGAGCCCCATCCTTGAAGGGTAAAAGGAGGCTGCCAACCAGATGGGCCCAGGACCATTGGTCAACATCAAGAAAAAGGAAGGCCTGGATCTTTTTCAGTGTCCATGCTTGCCACTGCTTTTGCCAGGGAGAACTTTAATTCAGCCACAAACTCCATGAAGCCACACTTTTTAAGATTTTGGCTTTATAAATTCCTTTGTGAACTTGCTGAAATGATGAACCTCTCCCTCAAAACAAAGGCCTGCTCCCTGCCCACCCTGAATTATGTACATCTCAGGGAACTCAGAGACCCCAGTGAAGATCCTCTGTGTTCACAGAAGTGCCTCCCCTTCTCTCTTTCCAGCTCCTGTTAAGCTAGAGTCCAGCACACTCACCTGTGTGAATGGCCCAGCTCCGAAACAGACAGGCATCCTTGTTGATATCCCAGCCATGCTTTGCAGCGTGCTTCCATGGGATCTGGAAGATCATCTCCTCCTACACAGCACACAAGCACACGTACACACAAGGCTGTGTCAGCTCAGAGACCACAGGCTTTGGGCCTTAATCTGCCCAGCCCCCCAGGTCTGGGAAAAGACTGACTTCCCTTTTTCACCCTGACATCTGGCTGGGGTTCACCCATCCCGACAATGGCCTAAACAGACTGGTCCATCTCTCTGGATCTCTCGGAAGAGGCTCTGGGTTCTGATGAGCTATGGCATCATCAGGTCAGCAAAGACCTCCTTCTGCTCATTACAGATGTGCTAGGACCCATACAGAGGACCCCTGGATGCTTCTCTCTGGCTTGTCAGCACCAACATGGAAATGAGAACTTGGTCCATTATATGGGGCTTCTCAGAACAACTGTGAACACTGGCTCCTACAAAGGGGGTCCTGGTCATATACCTGCAGGAGCCCAGGACCAGACTTGGATGATGACTACCTGTGTGACCCTGGCATTGAGACTGTACCTCTTTACTCCTCACTGGTTTCCATGAAATGGGAGCAAAAAAAAAAAAAAAAACCCACACCACAGTAACAAATATAAAAGCTACGGTCCCACTGTTATCATTACTGGTGGTTAACAGTATGGATTTTTGAGTAAGGTTGCTCAGGTTCAAATCTTGGCTCTATCGCTTTTTGTGTGATCTCATTATCTACCTCTCAGTGCCTGTTTCCTCATCTGAAAATGGAGATATTAGTAAAATCTTCCTCACATGGCTACTTTGAGGATTAAATGACACAGTGTAAGTAACATACTTAACATGGTGCCCTGCTCACTCCTAGTAATTGAGCATAGTAAGCATTAGCTATTATTATGAATACAATTAGTACTACTAAGCCTTCAGGGTCTGTTGTTCTTTTTTAAACAGCAAGAGGCCACTTGGGTCTAGACAACTGGTGCAAGATTAGTTCTTGGGTCACCTGCTGGGTCAGCCACCTCTTCCTGCCAGCAGTGCCCTCTTCTCTGTTTCCTATCTGCCCAAGTGGAGCCCTCTAGAAGGCTGTGTGTACCTGTAGAGGTCTCCCTCAGTACAGGCCAGAACTCTGGCTCTGCAGATGCTGGGAAAACTGTAAGTGGCCTCAGGTGGATGCCCCATGCATACCTCAAGAAGGGAGGTGGGCAGAAGGCAGCCAGTGGGGCCCTGCCTGGGCTGGGTCTTATACACTCCCTGCAGGATCCACTGGGAAATACATCTACCTACTCCCTATCACTTCCCTTTTTGAACTGCATCTGAAGCTTTGGACCCCTAAAGAACATAGGTTAAAACAGTGGCAGAAAAATCCAAAGAGTAACACTCACTTTATTAATCCAGATCAGCCCTGGGATTTGGTTGGAATTAATCTGCATCTCTAGCCAAGGTCTCATGCGCATCCGAGTGATGGGCATGTTGTCTGTGAAGAGAAGACAGAAGGCTCCTATTTGGAGTCTGTTGAGCAGTCCCTGGTCACTACCCAGCCCCAACCCCAACCCCAGGTCATTCAGTTACCCTCTCCTGCCCTCATCTAGATACCAAGTATTACAATCATGCTGAAGAGGATTTTCTCTCTAATAAAACCTCCCTCCAAATCTTTTCAGCATCTTGAGCAACACACTCCTTCCCTCAGCCCCTCCTAGACAGTCTTGGGAGGAGACAGACATGCCAAGTGATACTTTCAAGATTTATGTTAAGGAAAAGAGACAAAACACACAGATATATAAGTACTAGAACTTTTCTCCCCAAATTCAAATTATTTGGGAAGAGAGGGCTTCTTTTGCTTGATGCCAAGAAATTTTCCTGTTTGAGTTGTCACTAGCCGTGCACCTTCCCTAATGGACAGTCACCCTGCATCCTGGTCACCACCACCCCCCAATCTATCCTATGCCTCCCTGACAGCCACAGTGCCAAGGCCCGCACGCTAACCCTTTCGACCTGGTTGCCCTCCTTGGGTGAAGTGGCCCAAAGAACACCTGTGGCGCCTCTTCCCGCGGCTCCGGGAGGTCCTCCAACCACCCAGCGCAGCCAGCCCCAGCCCCCGCCACCTGCAGACACAGCCTGAAACCTGGGGCCTGAGCCTGAGCTGGAACCGCCGAAAAGCCGGCGCGGGGAGCAAAGGGCGCCCACACGCTAATATACACTCGAACCCCCAGCACAGCCCTCGGATGCGCGCAACGAACACACAGGGCCACCCAGAGGCCGCCAGCGGCTTCGCGCACACAGGTCTGCGACAGCGGCCAGGCACGGACAACCTCGGCGGGGTGGGCGGTCCACGCCGCTGCCCGCCCTCCCCGCACAGCTGCTTGCGGCTCCTCCAGCGCCCTCCCGAGGGCCCGTCGCTCTCCCGGCAAGGGTTTTCGTCCCCCACTTCCTGGTGCCCCGAGCGCGCCTTGGTCCGGTGCCACCGGTGCCCCCTGCGGGGAAGGCGGGCTCACCTCGACAGCAAACACTATCCGACGGCAGCAACCGAGGGTCCCGGCGAGGGCTGCTTTTGCGAGCGCTAGGAGCGCGATTCCAGTGGGAACGGGGAGAAGGCAGAGGATGCCCGGGTCGCGGAGCCGCTGGGCACGGCTGGCCTTGACTTGGCACGGCTCTCGCTGGCCTCTGCTAGCCCGAATTGCGTGCACGTCCTGCCTCGACGAAGGAGTGGCGCGCTCTGCCTGAACCGCGGCGCCGCGGAGAATCTAAACACTTAGCGGGATTCCCCCAGCCCAAGCTGGGCCCCGCCTCCTAAAGAGCCGAGAGGACGCCCATTGGCCAGCGCCGCCTCATCATTTCGGGGAAATCAGGCTGTTGTAGAGCTAGCGGCGAAGGGGAAGTACAGGGCGGCTGCCCCTCCCCACCCCCTCCGGCCTGGCGCCGCCGCCCCGGGGCGATCGCGGGCCCGCCCCGCCGGCTCCCACTCCACCCCCATACCAGCGCACCCGGGAGAAAGCGCTCCTGGAAAGTCAAACGCCCCCGGCCCGCAGTTACTCCCCTCACTCGGCGCTCACCCAGCCTGCTAGCTCCTGAGGCCATCTCCTTGCCCTTCTTTCCTGGGGATGCCCCCGGGATCTCTGTCTTCCCAGCCCTGGTGAGGGGGTCACCCCGGCACCTGCCGTCCTGTTCAGAGTGGACTCAAGGATTTAGTCCTTGAAAACCAACCTGCTTCCTCAAGCCCGTTAATGGGTGTCAAGAAGGGAGGGTTTCGGTCTTCAAACTCTCCCCTTTTCGAGGGGTGGCCCACCTCCGGGGGGTTCACCTTCCCCGAGGAAGTAAAGGAAAGCCTACCCTGCGTGGGGCTGCCAAGACGAGAAGAAATCCCAGTTTGGCCGCTGTAGTTTCCTCAACTCCAAAACAATAGCCCTACTTTGCTGCTTTACCGTGACAGAGATGATGTCTGTGAAACATCATGCCCTACTTGGGCAGCAGATGATGCGTGGTTTTCGAGGCCCCTGCCAGACTCTGTGACCAGGAGAGACCTCTTCCGCTTCTCCATCTGCATCCTTGGGACTGCCCCACTGCTGGCCTTAGGGAAAGAGAGAAGGGTTTCAGAGAAGCCAGGACTGCTGAGTTGGGGTCGGGGGTGGGGTAACCTTGGTTCCTCCTAGCACTCCTGCCTTAGGCCACCTCCACAGCCTCAAGTGGCTCTTGCCTGAGAGCCTTCCCTGGCAGCACTGGTTTAGTTTCTGGGGCCTCAGGGCTTGGTCTAGAGAGATTCTGGGCAAATGGGGTAATTGCTTACCTTGATCAAGGCCATGGGTCTAGCTAAAGGGTTGGGGAGCCCAGGTCCCAGGTGCTTTGGGAATGATAGCTATCGAACTCTTGTGCTTACCACTAGACCGTGCCCTACTTGTACTCCTAGAGGCCGGGCTGAATGTTCATATTTCTCTCCAGAGCTCTGGCCAGCAGGCTTCTTCCTTCATCTCCCCAAAGCTGCTGACTCAGAAGTAGATCTCTTCCAGGTCAGGTTGGTTGTATCATTCTGATCATCCCAGCTCTCCCTCCATAGCAGCACCCCGCTGCAATGTTTCAGGCTATAAACAGACATGTGGATGCACCATTCCACCTGTCAGTCACACTATAGCTTTCCTCCCACAGAGGAAATGGATGGGTTAATCCAATTCTGGTACACCAGAATCTGATGCTGTGACTAAGGCCACGCTTGGTTCCCAGGAAACCAATAGGAATGGGTCAGAGCTGTCTCCCAGATACTGATGGCTGGGACAGCTGAGAGGCAGAGAGACAGGAGAAACTGTGAGGAATGAGACTACCTGGGTGTTAACCAAATACAAGGTGCTGAGGCCCTGGAAGGGGGAGAAGGGTTGGGGTGCTATAAATGACAGGAGGGAGTGGGAATGCACTACAGAAACCAACACCTTTCAAGCAAGAAGAGAAGAAAACAAGTGGCTCCTGAGTTGCTAAGTCTGCTTTCTGTGCAGCAAATGGGTGCTTGTCCTACCCCTAGGAAACTGACATAGCTGCTGGAAAATGCAGAGTGAGATTAGGGAAATGAAGTTTGCATTTGATGTTGTCTGAGACATTGACCTTGGGAAGGCAACAGGAGAGAGTAAAGTGTGCTTTAAAATAAGAATTTTAATTCATAGATAATCATCTGTATTTGTTCTGTACATCTCTAATGAGCATCTTTCTGTGTCATGAAATGTACTTCTGCAATATCATTTGTAATGGGTATATATTATTCTACCATAGGATAAATAAAAATTTACCCAATTAATCCCCTATTGTAGGACATTTAGGTTATTTCCATTTTTTCATAATACAGACAGCACTGTGTAGCTAAATCTTTGTGCACAACAATCATTTTTTTGCTAAGGAGAAATTCCCCAGTGTTAGTATTTACCAGTGAAATTGTCATTTTACATTTTTGAAGTGTTCTTTGCCTTTTAAAAAAAATTTTTAACTTTAGGGATTCTTACATACTCTTGATGCTTATTATGATTGGGAGTGCTATACTTCAAATCAGTGAAATAAAGCTAACCCGTGTTTAAGCATCTCACATTTTTATGTCACTGTTCTTGATGAATCCCATTCTAAAATGTATCACACATTCCTTGTGAAGCTGGACAGACGCATTTTGTCCTTTTTAGGTTTCTGTCAGTAATTCGGGGCTGGCCTTTCCACATTTCTGACTCAAAATACTCTTCTGTACTTCCAGCCATCCCCTTTGGGCAGGTGACCTCCCAAACCATGCTGTGGCTGCCTTCTGGCTGCTCCCCTACAAACCTAACTACAGATTCCACACGCAGCAAACAACTCCTGGCCTCCCCTTTCCACGCTGCCCCCAGTACACTTCTTCCTAGTCCCAGCTCCCTCTCTGGTGAAGTCTTTCCCATCCTCCTCCCCTCCTTGGCCTCACCTGGTCCTCTGGGCTTTTCTTCCCTACATCAAGTCCTGCTTTCGCATTTGAGGATCAGACTGTTGTTGCCACAGCCTCCCCCTGGGAGTGCCTCTCTGTCTGGCCTGCCCTCCAGGCACCTCTGCACTAGGATTATTTCTGTAACTTTGATGATCTCCCTAACATTTAGGGTACGCACGGAAGCTTTGAGAGTTCCCTTAGACTCTTTAGCCCCACATTCAATTCACTGCTGACTCTGGTCCCAAGAGTCCCATTCCAAACTTTGGTCCCACAACTCCCCTACCCTTGGACTATAGGCCATGGAAAGATAACACAGAATTTGAGTTGTGAAGCTGCATTCTTGTGCTTTTTGCCACTTTTCCGTGTGACCTCAGGCAAGTTATTGTCCTTCTCTGGGACTCAGTTTTCTCATCTGTAAAATAGAAGTACTCTCTGCGCATTTGTCCTAATTGTTACAAAGATGAAAGAAATTATATAGACTATCAAATTCCTTTCTCAAGTGTAAGACATTACTCAAATGATATGTACTCACAGTAGTGCATGAACCTTTCACTGTATTTCCATTCTCTGAACACACTTTGTATTTTTCCCCTGTCTTTGCTCTTTCCATTTGCTCCTCATCCCTGACTTCCTAGGATACTTGCATCACTCACCTTACCTGCCGCCCCCCCCCCCACTCCCCCCACTTCAATTTTAGTCTCCGTTTTAAGGCCCAGAGCAAATGCCTGGTCTTCTATGAAGCATCTCCAAAGCAGCCAACCAGAAATCCTTCCCCTCCTCAAAACCCCCTAGCCCTCAACTTTCATGTTGTCTTTTCTCTTCTACTTATCGCCTTCTGGGTGGTGATTCTCTGTGGAGCAAAGTCTGCATTTGTTTTCTGGTTTTTTTTTTTTACCAGCTGAACATTATGCAAGATCTTAGTTCCCAGGGATCAAACCCATGCCCCCTGCAGTGGAAGCACAGAGTCTTAACCACTGGACCACCAGGGAAGTCCCAGTCTGGTTTTTCTGCAAGAGACCTGAGGGTTTTCTGCAGGGTTCCTCACGCTGCAGCTGGAGTTAGATCCGGAGCAGGGTCTCACTCAAGGATACCTTCCATCTATACCGTCACTCAGTAAGGGTACATTTATTGCAGCTGTTCTGTATTAGGGTCTGGAGTTTTCTGGGCTGGCAGATGAGGCTGACCGGCTGGCAGAACCACCTCTGCAATCAGGCTGCTGAGGGCAAGATCAGCTGTCTGGAAACCTTTTCCTCAATGGACCAAATCATGCCCCCAGTCCCCTCTCTCAGGCTCTCAGAGGCTCTCAGTGTTCAACACCCTGGGTGGGTTCCGGTTAATCCTGAAGTACAGGACCCAGCAAGGCTTTAACTAGGTTTTTGAGAGTAGTGCAGCCCTGGGCCCATGTAGGGCCTGCCACCCAAAGAAGAGGCCACAGTCCCCAAAGCAAATGAAACCCAGCAGGCATTTCACCCCCCAGGTCCAGAGGGAGGGCTGTCTTTGATGCTAAAAGTCCATCCCAGCCATCATCTATTTTCACAGCAACTTGGAAGCAGGGCAGTCCTAAACTATGAAGTGCAGAACACAAAGTCAGGCATAAAATAATCTAAAAGCAACCTAAAGCTTTAAGTTAGAATCTAGGCATCATCACCCTAGCTGAAATGAGCCTAATTGGAGATGAAGAAAGTCGTTTTTTAATTCATTCAACAAATATGAATGGCACTCCTGCTCTGGGTCAGTTCCAGGTTTGGCCCTGGGGATGTGCTCAGGCACGAGACTAGCCCCTCCCCTCTCACAACTCAGGCAAAAATGGTGTATGACACAGCAGAATACACGTTGTGCTGTTATAAAAATACTAAACGCAGAGTGGGAGGCTGCAGCTGACTGGGAAAGCACTAGGGGTCTGGCGATATAAGAGTGGGCCGAGGATTGCTCCAGCGCTCCGGGACCGGAACCCCGGAGGGGGAGCTGGGTGTCCGTGTGGGCTGCCGCTGATGCCCTCTGCAGTTTCATTTCTTATAAACACTGAGTTGGGAGGAAAAGCTGCCTCGGCTCTCCAACCACCCCAAGGGGCCCCGAGGCGGGGCTGAACTCTGTGGCCAGGCTCAGTGGCCGTGACCCGGAGTGGGGCTGGATGGGACCTGCGCCCTCCTCCACCCTTCCTACTCCCACCCCACCCCCGCCAAGAGGTCTTGCACTACGGTCAGAGCCCCTGGCAGGCTTCTTGGCCTTGCTGGGGATAACAGCACTCCTACTTCGTCCTGGGTAATCGAGTCCCGGTCTGGAGCCCCTCGCCCTAGGTGACCCAAGTTCGCGCTTCCCGGGGTCTGAGATGGGTGTGTTTTTGGAGGGGAGGGGGCGCAAGCTCTTCCGGCCAACTTCCACATTCCTGTTCGGCCCAGGCTGGGGGTGAGTTGGGGTGAGCGGCCGGCTCTGGGCTGGCCGGCTTCCTGGAAAGGGAGGG